GGTTAATTGGGATATTTTTATGTGTTTATGTTTAGGATTAGTACTAGTAGTTGTGTCTTGTCTAGGAAGTTATTATTTACCTTATTGTTTTGAGATTGGATTACTTTGTCTAAAGAGGAAAGGATTTGTGGGATTAGTCCTATAAATATGTACATTACCTCTACGTTTTTATTCATGAATGAGAAGAAGAATATTTCAGTAATTATCGTAGTTCTGTAGGAGTAGAAGTAAAATAATTTAGAGATCTACAATGTGTGAATTCCTTCACACGTTTGGGCACTTTAAAGTTCTTTCTTGGCTTGGAGTTGTCTCGTTCATCTGCAAGAATCCACATGAACCAGCGGAAATGTGCTCTGCAAGAAGAATATGGAATGCAAGCATCCAAAACCGCCAATTCCCCTCTCAAACCAGGACTGTCGCTTTCCCTAACAGAAGGAGACCTCCTCAAAGAAGAAGAATCCACTAATTACAGAACGTTGGTAGGTAGTTTACAATTTTTATGCAATATTAGACCTGACTTACAGTTTGCTGTGAATCTTTTAGCTCAATTTGTATCCAGTCCAAGAATTCCTCATCATCAAGTCATTCAATGGGTCCTTTGATACATCAAAGCAGCTCCAACACAGGGTCTTTTCTTCTCCACAAAGCCATCATTAGCTCTTCAAGCATATGCAGATGCTGATTGGGCGGGCGACATCAACACAAGGCGCTCCACCAATGGGTACTTTGTCTTCCTCGGCCACTCACTCATCTCATGGGCTGCTCAGAAACAAAAAATTGCATCCCGATCCTCAGCCAAAGCCGAATACTGAGCCTTAGCAGATACTACAAGCGAGTTACAGTGGCTATCTTACATTCTCAAAGAATTTCATCAACAGATCAAGACACCTTTGTTGTTACACAGCGATAGCAAGTCTGCCTTTCACATGGCGGCAAATCCAGTCCAACACAAGCAAACGAAGCATATTGAATTGGATTGCCACTTAGTTCGTGATCAAGTCCATCGAGGTTTCATTCAACGAATGGCCAAAACACTTGACTCTTCACCCATTCCAATATAAAGGAATGGTCAGTAAAATAATGGATAGTATATGGGATGGCTTGAAAATAAATGAATTGTTTAGTTGTAGAATATTATTCTCGTCAGACTTAAACCTAAACCTAACTAAAATAACTAGGGTTCTTCTATCATGCATACGCATTAGGAAAATAAACCAGAGAATCCTTCAGAAGTAAGTCAGATGTTACCCCCAAAAGAATACATGAGCTAATTCACATGGATTTATTTGGTCCTAACCAAACCATGAGCTTAGGTGGAAAATTCTACGCCTTTGTTCTGATAGTGACTTCTCTGGATATATATGGGTCTTTTCTTAAGACAAAAAGATGAAAATATTACTGAATTCAAAAATTTTATTTCCAAAATTTATATTCAGAAGGAATTATCAATAATAAGAATTAGAAGTGATCAGGGAGAAGAATTTGATAGAGATCCGTTTGAAGCATTTTGTGACAATATAGGAATCGAACATAACTTCTCAGCTCCATAACACCTCAACAAATTAGAGTTTTTGAAAAGAATAATTGGACTCTAGAAGAAATAGGAAGAATCATGCTCTAAGAATATAATCTACCCAAAATCTATGGGAAGAAACAGTTAATGCTGCCTGTTTACATAACTAACAGAGTATTGATTAGGAGTAAGTTCAAAAAGACTACCTATGAACTCTGGAAGGGTAAGAAAACAAATATGAGTTACTTTCATCCCTTTGGAAGTCCTTGCTTCATCCTGAACACAAAAGGACATCTAGGAGAATTTGAACCCAAGTTAGATCCAACAATCTTTATAGGGTATTCTACTAGAAGCAAAGCTTTCCGGGTCCTGAATAGGTAAACGAACAAAGTTGAGGAATCCATTCATAAATAAAATTTGATGAAAATTCACATCAAAGTGATGAGGACTTCTTTGCTATACAACCTTTTACCAGAATAATAGAATCTACCACGATTTCTGGTTCGCGGCCGCGAACTTAGATCCACTGCAACCAGCAAAAACATTGTTTGACAATCGCGTTCATGGAAGGATGTGCACAACTGCAATCTCCCAGCACGAGGCCACGAAGTTATAGTGTCCCCTGACTGCCTATATATATGAGGAGACCCTAATTGCTAAAGGGAGAGCCAATTTAGAGAGAGAAATTATTGTTTTTTTTTTAAATTTTTAGATAGAGAAACGACATTGGAGGAGCTCAAGGAGGAGGAATTCATTGAAGATCCAAGGAGGAGGGTGCAATCTAAAGAGAAGAAGATGGATTCAAGCATTTCCTCTCTTCTTTGTTTGTATTTTTCCTCTTTGTCCAAACTTAAAACTCTATGATTGTTTAGGATAGATAAATTCTAGTATGTAGCTAAACTTTGTTAATTGAAAGAGAATGTAGCTTGTGTTTGTGTTTAACTAGAGTGATTAATGCCTCTTTCCATGGTTTGAATGCATGAATGTTATATTTACATGTTTTTGCCCTTAGTAGATTCATGGGTATACGTGAGTACGTTCAACTTAGGTTAGATGATCTAGCTAATGGGCAAATGAGGTGATCATACCCTTCCAATTATGATCCCACCTAGTTAATGTTGGTGAGGTGAGTGCATGACCATCGACTCACTAGACTAGTGTGCAGATGGGTAGAACCCGTTTAGAGTAGGTAGAGCTTACCTCTAGTCGTAGAAGTAGGTTGTGGTGACATTGGATCGACGGATGCGGCTAGAAGCGCGATTGAGTGACATGACCATTGCATCGATCCCCACCTAAGTGACCTCTGCACCTCAATGAGCTAGGGTTTCAACAATCAGGTTATTATCCTACTACTAGAGGGATTCAAACCTAGGCAACCCTCTCATCTCTAGCCACCTCCCAACTTGTCAGTTGGTTGTTTTTAGTTAGTTTAGTTAGGTTAGTTCTTAATCATACTTTCTATTTGATTAGATAGTAGTTTAAAGCAAAGTAATAGTAAGCCTAGGAACCCCTGGAATACCCTCTCTCCCTCTAGCCAAACCCTCCTCATGCTCTCATTCCTCCCCAACGATGATGAATTCCGCCCGCCTGTGCCGGTCATCCCTGCCCCTCCCTCTCTTTGACCCTCCCACCGACAGTCCCTGGCTGTGCTCGAAGGACAAGCTCCCCGCCGAAGTTATGAAAAGTGGCGGGGAAAAAGGGCATGCATCTAGAAGCTAGTTGAGGCCCTTGTAAAACCATAGAAATAGCAATGGACAGAAGCAAACAAATTCCCCACAATCCCACAAGCCTTCCCCATGGATGGATGGAAAAGCGACCTGCAATCCAGAATCCGCCGATGGACAAGCGACCTGGGCGAATACGGGATCGTGGAGGTCATCTAGAGTCAAGTTGGACCGCGAGGATCCTCAAAGCAATCGGCGGCACTGGCCATCCCTCCCCCTCCCCCTATCTCCGACCTTCTCGCCTCAGTGGTATTATTTTTGTCACAATGGTATTGTTTTTGTCGCATTGATTATTTATTTTGTCGCATTAGTATTGATTATCATGTAATGGTATTAATTTGCATGTATTGGTATTGATTAAATCTGCAATGGTATTGGTTTTTTGTGAAATTGTAGTTTTTTTTATTTCATGAATGGTATTGGTGTTTTGCGCAACGGTAGTATTTTTAATGGATTGGTATTGGTTTATTGTTTTGTTGTTGCAACGGTATTAGTTCGGCTGAACAAAATCAAGAAAAAGAAGGAAGAGAGATCTGACTGAAGATTATGAAAGTGGGAGAAAGAGAGAATAAATAGTAGTTAATATATTTATGTAACTTCCTAAAATATAATTTATTAAAAAAAGAAATTAATAAATATTAAATCTTATACCCAATATGTCCTTAATAACCATTGCGATTACTAATCTATAATAATCACTATAACCCCTCACTAATAACCCATCAATTTCTTCAACAATTCGTCCTCCCCTCGCATCTTCCACATTTGATCCTCTCAATTTGTCAACAACATTTGGAGCATTTTCGTGAAACATTCTGGGCATCTTGTCAATTATAATTTTTATAATGGGTTATAGGTATAATATGCCCCTCTACTATAACGTTTTATCAAACATGCCCCTCTACTATTTTTTACATCAAACATGCCCCTGTACTTTGTAAAAATGATCAAACATGCTCTTTTGTTAAAATTTTCATCCAAAAACCGTTAACCAAGGCCGAACTTTAGTTTGGGCGACACAAATGACTAAAATATCCCTGAAAATTTAACTATAGAATTTTTTTGGTTCTTTTGTATAATCAAATCGTTCAAATAATTTCACTTTGAAAATACTCAAAGAAATAAAACAGGGGACAAAACTGACATTTTTCCTCCCATTTGCCGATGTCGGGTCGTCTAAATATCGGTTCAACCATGATTGACGATTTTTTCAATGGAAATTTTAACAGAAAGGCATGTTTGATAATTTTGTCAAAATACAAGGGAATATTTGATGTAAAAAATAGTAGAGGGGCATGTTTGATAAAACATCATAATAGAGGAACATATTATACCTATAACCCTTTTTATAATTGAAGATACAGTTTTTTAGTACAATATTTTGTACTTCTTGGAGGAGAGAGGAGGAGAGAGGTTTCCCGAACTAAAAGAGTCTCCATTAGTTTCCATAAATAAAATTACAATCACCAGTTCCACAAAAAGTAAAAAACCAAGAGGATAGCGCAGCTTTCTTTTTCTTTCTTACTCGAAGCCCTGATTTTGATAATTGCTTGTGGAAATCGATTTCGCATTTGGCTTGGCGTGAGGAACTGGAGCTTCAGCAATCAGCACCTCACTCCACGTCATCAATTCCCCTTCCCTTCCCTTTAAAACCCCCCAACACCCTTTTCCTCCCCTCACCTGCCTCAATCAATCATTTCCCAATCCCAAACAAAGCCTAAAACAAGTGGCTGTCTTTTCTCTCCTGCAGAATTTTCTTCTTTAAGAGAAAAAGATGGAGGGTCTGATTCCTTTCGTGTACAGGGCAATAACTCAGCACAGAAGCGGAAGGGAAGCTGCTCTCAACTCCTGGTTCACCGATTCCCCTTCGTCGATGTCCTACATTCGGCTCCCCGGCGATTCGGGTCGGTTTCAGGCGTCGGATCGTCTCCACCTGTTGGGATCCGAGTGCACTACCTCTGCTACTGCTTCTTCCAATCTCAATTCCGCCGGTCAGATTCTCGTTTCCACCGGGGCGCAATCGCCCCTCTGCCGCTTAAGTCGCCGCGTGGCTGCCTGAATTCATCTTCACACAAACCGACCATCCCCCGAATGAAAGCTGCAACTGTGTATTATTATTGTATGTATGTATATTAGGAGGGGTGGTGTGTACATTTACAGCATCAACGTCTCTGTTTGTGGACTCTGTTTGTGAGTAAGCGCGTGGGGAACCAAAGGGTGAACTCGTGCTTCTTCTTCTTTCGTTGGGGCATGTGGGAGGGAAAGAAAACCCAGAAAGGGGGAACTGGAAACCCATGCCCTGCGTCCTCTGTGTGCTGCTGCAGTCGTCCAAGAATCATAATACTTACTGTACCATCGTCTCGTTGTACTGTTTGTGTTTGATGTGTAATTGATTACATCCCGAAAATGGCTCTTGTCAAATAAACATTTGATTGGGCTTTTGCACTATTACTTCCAAAGAAAATAGGATTGTTTGGTTTCCTTATTAGTTCCATAAATAACTAACAAAGCCTTGCGTTCTGGATTCTAGTCCACTTGTACCAAACTGTCTCCGCAGCTTTTTCAGCTGCATAATAATTATCTTCAGCTTTAGAGAATATATGGAGTTTTTACAAATATTGCAGGCGAGCAGAAGCAATTTGCCATGATCCTTCCCTTCCCTGGTTTTGGACGTACACTGGGCAACACCAAAAGATTACTTAACAGGGCTGCGACTCTATCTCACTTCCTTGAGTTAGAGAGCGCCAAAGTCGGATTTGGTCCTACTTAAGTCGGGTTTCAAAACGGCATACAGATTCCTTTTCGGTCTGACTTCTAAAGAGGGAGGAGGGGTAAAGAAGAAAGGAAGATAGTAGATGAATCATGGAGGATTAGAGGTTAGATATGTTTTATTTTGTGGAAAATAAGTTTTTAATGGATACATGTAAAATAAATTTCATTTTAGTCGTTAATTTTTAATTACTACAGTATTTGTATATATATTTAGAAAATGTATAAAACGGCTCAAACCGGTCAAATCTCAAACCCCTTGTTTGACCGACTCAATGACTTAACGCGGTTTGAAAACCTTGAGTGAAGTTATATATGTTGGTGATGAAGTTTACAGCAATGGTGGTGTCATTCTGCCTAGCTCACTGGCATAGCACCCTGAAGCAACAGATAGTCATGCAACTTGAAACGCAGTTTCCATTCTCCTATTTTGGTAGTTACATTCTTCAACCGTTCCTGTAGTGACTAACTGATCCGGCCAGCATATTATCTGGTTGTTCATTGTTGAAGGGAAATAATAAAGGAGAGTTGACGAGTCTTGAGAAACTTCCCGTTGATTGATGTGACCACTCAAACAAAACAGAAAGCTACCAATGTTCGTTACAAAGAAAGCAAAATCCGGACGAATTTACACTTAACTGTTGCTTGCTGAGTGTCTACACGGAGGCTAAGGTCCAGAACATAACGTGAGATGAAATAGCAATAACAAGCCAGGTTCCTAAAGCCAGGAGTATGGAGATCTCGAATCTGCGACATGGGAGATTCTCTTGGGCCTTGCAGAACTCCAAGTCCCTTGCGTACAGAACTACAACGCCGGCTGATGAACACGCTGCAGCAAGTGACAACATAGCTGTTACCTGCAGAATCCCAGCACTATCGTTATGCGCAGCTGCAAAAATAGAAGTAATGGGAAGGAAAAGGCATACAACGTTTTCAACTGATTAACGCAGATGATACTAAACGTATAAGCTGAGAAAATTTGCACTACTCCTGCTAAGCAACATTAGTGGGACAAGTTCATTGAATAGCATAGTTTCTTTCTATCACCAGTAGTGCAGAAGATCCTGGAATTTGATAGCCACCAAAAAGTGAGCTTTTCTTGCTATGGTTACCAAGTGACCGAAATGGAAGACTAACTAAAGAGGAGAGTTGGTGAGAGTTAAGTACCCAATCCCCTACGACAAATAGGCTCACAAGGACAGGATTCTGAAGGTCTTTCTTTCTCCTCAACGCATAAATGTCGAGACATGCAAGTCCAAAGCTCCATAGGAGTTGAAGGCCCATTGATGCAATCAAATAGCTGAACAAGAGAACAAGTATCAGCATCACAAACAAGTATTTACTTGTTCACTTCCAAAATGCATAACAGCAGCAGAAAGACTTGAGTACAAATGCCGAACCAGAGATGCAAAGACAGCAGGAGCTTGAATGGCATTCAGTCGAAAAATAACCAAACTGAGACCTTATCTACCCACTTGGAAATTGGAAATCACACACCTTCGTAAGTTATAAAACAAGACTAAAAAGAATCTCATATACGCAGAGCATAGTTCAAACCTTCACCCAAAATTTGAATCAATGAACCTAAGCCCAGATTGTAAGTTCCTCAAACTGGAGTACTGAAGTACAAATGCAAGAACAAAAGCTCACACAGCCTAGTAAAGCAAGACCCAGGGGAATTCCTCGCTGCAATGCTTCGATTTTAGGATTTCACATTTGGCAAACAGCATGAACTTCCTGGAGGGCACATACATAATCAAATGCTGCAATGCTTCGTTGATTGGTATTTTAGGCTCTTATTTCTTTGAGAGATAAAAAGCTAGCTGCAAAGTGAAGATAGCAAGTGAAATCGTACCAGAAAGCGGTGTAGCTAGAGAAACCATTGGCAGAGACCATAACCCCAATAGAAGCAGCAGCGAACGCACATTGCCCTAATCTGAGTAGCAACCCGCTCACCGTCCCTGGACTCCCTAACAGCTCCTTCATTTCCCCAACCTCAACAACTATTTTCCCCGCTTCTTCGATCTAGCCAAAACCCAAACGAAGACGTCCTTCTCTTAGCTGAAAGACGCCCTTCTGAGTGTGGTAAGATCCCTAGCTACTCAGCATCTCCGCCATTGATGCAAAATCTGGGCCAATGTCACAGGAGCAAATGCTTTGAGGTGTATCTACAAATCTGGAGGGAGCGAGGGAGAATCGTTTCCCGTTTAGAAGAGGACAGTGGACGATGGATCCGTTCTCTTTTGGCCGTTAGAGGTCGGGATTCGGGGCAAGTTTTTTTATTTTCATTTTTCAAATTGTTGATGAAGTGCAAGGGATTGCAAGTCCTACGTGGTTTTTCTTTTTCCCGTTTTCATTTTTTATAGCTCCAATATTTAACTTTTTCTTAATATTTGAATATTCTTCGATATATAACTGAATTACTATTCGTAACTCAAATACGAGTTATTCACCGTCCTAAATTGATAATTAGATTTTTGTTATTCCTTCTCGCAACCTTCACACTCCATATTCTTATATCGCTTGTGGCCCGAGCCTTGTCAGAGTTTCTCTGGAGATGAAGAAACTCGTTGGAGAAAGAGGATAAAGGAAGAAGACCCCAAAATTAAGGAGAAAGAAGGTTGTTATAGAAGACCTCACAAGCACCCGTTAGGAGGTAATTTTCCTTTTCCCTTACAAAATAGCCGATGACGTGCTAAATATGCATCACTGGTGATGGTCATATGTATATTTAACACGTCATCGACATGACGTTGACGCATCATTAACACATTGTCATTTAGGCGGCTAGTTAAACCATCGTTGACCATCGCCCATGACTATCAATTGTTGTATGTCCTATTGTCGGGGACGTCAACGACTTTATGACCTGCTGTTCGAGAGGGCGACAACGATCGTTGATGTGGCAAGGTTTACCGAGTCGATGACACATTTTCCGCACGTCTGACATTTGTCGGCAACACATTATCCAAGTGTTAACCTCAATTAGTTCTACCAATCTCACTCGAAAATGGGAAAAAAAACCATCCTTAAGTTAGTTAAGGAAATGGTACATAATCTTTTATTATCCGGATCTAGGAAATTTACGTTGCTCTTATATCTACGATGGCAACAAAGATATATTCGGAGGTACAGTTAGACATTGTTTGCTTTATTTGATGCATGTATAAAAAACCCCAATACGTTTTGCAATCTCTATAGCTACTTCCAAAGCTTGCATCAATGAGTTATATCTTGTATTTGTTACGAAAATTGGAGTATAATCACCTTGTTCGTTGTCTACCTACAATTAATAAAAGTAAATGATTACTTATATGTTGTAGTATGAATTCTTCTAATGTAGTATGAGTTGAGTCTTAGGTAAGTTTCAAGACCCTTTTGATGGCTTATTTGCAGAAATAGTAAAATTTCGATACCGAGTTATTGAACATGTTAAGTTCAAGTACTAAATTATAACTTTTTTGCCAAGAGAACATGGCATGAGTCCCTCAACTCAGTATGGGATCTGAGCAAAAAGAGGACACCTATGTGGACATTTGGATAGTTTAATATAATGTTCGTGTGCTACTCATCTATGGAAAGAATAAGGTCGTAGGCTTCTCGGTGAAGGTCCTTTGGAGAGCGGATCATGTCAGTAACTCTTATGGTGAGTAACCATCAGTAACCTGTCCAAATCTGCATGACATTAGCATCCCCTCTCTCCTGGAAAGTCTTTTATCTTTTCCCCTTTAATCTTTAACGGGCTATTTCTCTCTCGTTTTAAGTCAAAATTTAATTTTTTTTTGCACAGATGAATTAGATTAAATGTGCTCTTTAAAATGATATCCACTTTGATATATTTTTAGTACAAAAAAATTGAATAATTTTTTACCAGTCATTACCATATGGTATGCTCATATTTAATACCATATGGTAAGAAAGCGTACCATGATGGTATTAACATACCAATATGGTAAGAAGGTTGAATACATGATAGTAGGAGTATACTAACTGTCATTTACGACTTTCATCATTGTTTACAACAAGTTACCACCCACATACCATAGTGGTAAAGTATGGTAATTTTTGGTCCAGTATTTTTTTTCACCCAGAAATATGTAGATCCAATAGATCATGATGAACTCGTACCTTCTGAGCAAACGTTTTCAAAAACGACTTAAAAATGAAGAAGTTACCATATGGTATGCAGTTGGTGAAAAAAAAGTTTCTCTCGAAATATATTGAAAATTGATCTCATTTTGTAGAGCACAACGAACTCTTTCCATGTGTGCAAACAAAATTGAAATCCGAGTTAAAACGAAGAAGATAAGAGTCGATTATGAAAGTCAGGGAAAATGAAATGTCTTTAATTGACAATCCTTAGATCTGAATTTTCTGGGTCCACTTAAATCGAATGGTCTAGATTTAGTTACTCATAGGTCAATAACCATTGGTTACTGACCCTATCATTGGCCCTTAAAAGGTAGATTTTGTTGAAAACTTTATAGTTAGCAATGTAATGTATATGAGTAGTGAGAACATGAACTTGAGAGATGATTTGCTAGTTGTAAACTTATTGTAGGGTACTCGGAGTAGGATAAGTTCATTTATGGTAGGAGCTTTATAGGGCTTTTTGGGCTACTCATCTTGAGTTTTCCTTTTCATTCTAACTGCTTCCTAAATGTAATTTGCATATAGTTGGAAATAAGTAACTTATTCGACAAAAAAAAAATCTGATTTTTAGATAAACTTGGTAGTATTTGTTGTACATTGAATTATTCTAATCAATAGCAATTATAATCGTTTTTAAGCATTTGATTTTAGTATTTTGGGAAGGACATTTTAGACCTAATGATAATCTAAATTATCTTTCTTTTTCTTGTTTTCACATACCTTCTTTATATTCTATTTTACACTTAATCCTCCTCCAATCGTTTTGTTATAAATGATCGTCCCACAAATTTTAATGAGGGATTAACTTCGAAAAGTGAGTTTCTATAATTAAAATTGTAAGAAGTTATACTATTAATAAGAAGTAGAGGTTAACGTGCCAGCGCTCAATCTGTTAGCATGATGCTAATACCACCCCATCCAATATGAACATTTTCAATTTGATTGCTATTTTATTCCAAGGGGTTTACCAAAGCTAATGCAGATTAATAAAGGGAGAGATACGTTTGTCATTATTGAAAATTGGGGGGACACACACGTGTAGTGTTGTGCATTAATTTTGCATCACCGCAAGTATCATGAAGCATACCACAATAAAAAAAGCATATTAGAAACTAAACACACTGCAAAATTTATAAAGCATTGATAACACCTAAATTGATGTTAAAAGACATTCATTATCTAGGCTTTTGTGTGCTAAATTTCTATGTCTAGGCCACATTGCAAGGTAGTTTATTTCAATATGCGTTCATATACAATGATCATCATTATTTGCGATGAAGGTTTCCATGGAAAAATCACCCATACTTTGTCGTACGTTATGATTGCTTGTTGTTTGTGATGTATTCCTGGTCTTGCACTGTACGAATGATTGGGGATCAATTTTGGGTTCATCAAAGGACATTTGCCTCACATAGGAGCAAAGAAGGGAGAAATTATACAGGTCACGGCTTCACGACAGGGTGGTCAACTCTAGGCCATGATGCACCCTCTGACGCAGAAAATGGACAAAAAGTTTCACGCTCTGATTCGCGACCAAGGAGGATTTCGACCACGAGAAAGATCCAGGCTGCAATTTCCAGATCATGGTTGTAATATCAAGATCAAGGTCGTGATCTTAATAATGCTCGTGAACAAAGTAAAGACACAGAGTTTTTAACGATTCGGTAACAGGTTTACACATCATGCCCATGACGTGCCTCTACTCGCCATTTTGTTAAGTATCACAGCGTGGAGGCTGCGACCACCCCTTGAATCACGGCCAGAGGTCGTGACGTGCAACATAAGCTTCTATAAAAGCCCCTCTACAATTGACGATGGAGAGTCGACCTCGAGTGAGTAATTAGGTAGTGTAGCGACTGATAACCTACCGGAGGACATTGTGTAGTAATTAGGTAGTGTAGCCCCTCTGCAATTGAAGGATGGTTGGATCTCCAATGCACTATCCAAATCAACGAAGTATATATACTTAAAGTAGTTGACTCACTCCTACTGTCACTCTAGAAATTGGTCAAGTGTAACCACTTCCTAAAGCGTAGTATAGCGGGTTTGGGTTTTAATGTCAACCCGGGTCCTAGATGTGATGACTACTCAGTGAATTCGTATTATCTAGCAATGAAACTTTAGTGAAGGTCTAAACTAACAAGCAAGCAAAGCAACTAAACGGTTGTTTTCAGGTTAAGAGAGGTCACCCGGATATGGTTCCCCCTAGTCTGCAGGTAAGCCGGATTGTAATTACCAAGTTCAATTTCTATGATAGTTATACTGCGGAAGGTTCTCAAACAGTCTGAAGTCTCGACTAAAGGTCTTCAGACCCTCTCAATCTGAGTCTCTAGCGGGCGACTAACCTCCACCGGAGTAAACAGATTGAGGCCCTATGAACAAAACCTCCACTACCGAATTGAATTCGGTACAGAATAGTGAATTGGCTCCTCGACTAAAGTCACCAATTCACTACCTTCAATTAAGGATACTCTATTAACCTAGGCAGATATTCTCATTCTAGGTTAAAGCAGAAACAACAGGAATTTGATCAGGATTCATGTCATTCAATCATTCAAACCTCAATCGAATATAATCAATCCATAGAAACAGTACTTGGGTTCATACAATCAATCCCAACATACAGAACTAGGGTTTCCCACACCCAGATGAATGGGAGAACTACTCCACGGATAAAGAAGCAAAAGCAGAATCAGACGTGGAAATCATACTGTGAAGATGGATTTCTGCTCCTAGACGTTGAATCGGCACTTCTCCAAGCTCAAGCCAAGCTCCAATAGTGTTGAAGATCAAGCTAGGGCACTTGGAGACTCTTGTTCGTCGCTTTCCCTCTCTAGGAATCGCTCTGTCTCTCTAAAACTCGAATCCCCTCTCAATTTGGCTGAAATCTGCCTAAAAGGGCATCAGTGGCCAAAGCACGGTCGAGGGCACGGCCGTGCTTTGCCTCAGCCCGCCCGTGCTTTGGCTAGGGTTAATTACACGGCCAGCTTGTTGGTGAAAACACGGTCGTGCTTTTGGGAGAACACGGCCGTGCTTTGGGTGGACACGGCCGTGCTTTGTCTCGGCCCTGCCCGTGTAATCAGCTCATGTCTGCCAAACTCAAATTTGCTCTCGGCAGTAAAAGCACGGCCACAGAAAACGGCCGTGTTTTGAAGGCCTCCTGCCCG